GCTCCAGGAGATGGGTGAAAAGAAGCCACGAATTGTGATAATGGGAGCAGGAATGGCAGGCCTTACTGCTGCCAACAAGCTTCACAGTGTGGCTGCCTCAAAAGACTTGTTTGAGGTGTGTGTTGTGGAAGGTGGAAACAGGATTGGTGGAAGAATCAAGACGTCAGAGTTTGGTGGTGACATGATTGAGATGGGTGCTACATGGATCCATGGAATTGAAGGTAGCCCAATTCACAAAATAGCCCAACAAATCCATGCACTTGAGTCTCACAAGCCTTGGGAGTGGATGGATGGGAATGGAAATGAAGCCACCACAATTGCTGAAGATGGCTTTGTGCTAGACCCTTCCTTTCTTCACCCCATCAAGAAGCTTTTCAACAATCTCATTGATCATTTTCAAGGGAACATGTCAACAACAATAACCACCAAAGGTGATTGTGGAAACCTTAGTATTGGCTCTTTTCTTAAACAAGGCCTTGGTGCTTATTGTGGCTCATCAAAAGAGGAAGAGGAGCTCAAAGGGTTTGGAAAATGGAACAAGAAGTTACTCGATGAAGCAATCTTTGCAATGCATGAGAACACACTGAGGACTCATACATCTGCTGCTGACTTGTTCGCTTTGGATTATGGTGCAGAAAGTGAATACCAAGTGTTTCCGGGTGAAGAAATCACAATTGCTAAAGGCTACGTGAGCATAATGGAACATTTAGCATCATTGCTACCACCTGGTTTAGTTCAGTTGGGTAGAAGAGTCACAAGAATTGAATGGCAGCCAGAGGGACACGAGCCTATGAATATGGAAAATGGAACCTGTTCCAGGCCTGTGATGCTACATTTCTGTGATAGCTCTACTATGTCTGCGGATCATGTCATTGTCACAGTTTCACTGGGAGTGTTGAAAGCTGCAATTCGTGGTGATGATTCGGGTATGTTAATGTTCCATCCCCCTTTACCTACTTTCAAGGTTGAGGCTATTTCAAGGCTTGGTTTTGGTGTTGTTAACAAGTTGTTTATGCAATTGAGCCCTCAACATGAAAAAAGAGATGAAATTTCCAAAGGGTTCCCCTTTTTGCATATGGTTTTTCATTCACCTCACTCCGAGTTAGGGCACAAGAAAATACCCTGGTGGATGAAAAAGACAGCATCCCTTTGTCCAATCTACAACCATTCTAGTGTCCTCCTAGGTTGGTTTGCTGGGGAAGAAGCACTGGCACTAGAGTCACTCAAAGATGAAGAGATCATTGAAGGGGTTTCAGACACAATTTCATGCTTCCTATCTCATTCACTTGTGTTTTGCAATGGAAATGTGGACTCTCATAAATATGAGGTGAAATTCAGCAAAGTGTTGAAGAGCCAATGGGGAACAGATCCATTGTTTTTAGGGTCATACAGTCATGTGACAGTTGGATCAAGTGGTGATGATTTTGATACAATGGCTGAGCCATTGCCAAAAAGTGGCAGGCGTAGCCACTCTTGTGCTTCACCACAACTTCAAATTTTGTTTGCAGGGGAAGCAACCCACAGGACCTATTATTCCACAACTCATGGAGCTTACTTTAGTGGTCTTAGGGAAGCCAATAGGCTTCTTCAACATTATTCATTGTGTTAAGATATATAATATAATAACAACTTGTATTTTACCCTTTCATATATGTTATCATTAATTTCTATGATATTATTCTTATTTTTCTCCTTTGGGAAATTAGTTAGTGATTGCCAAAAAATATAATTAGATGAAAAGTGAGATGAGGACATTGAGGTGTAGAGTGAAGCCAAAATATCCCCATATTACTCTTTTCATCTATAGGTTGTAGTTTCTTTTTGTTTGATATCATGTAAAATCATTGAAACAAACTACTAGGTGTCCTTTTACTTGAATTCAGAATCTGATGCTTTAGAAACTACATCCATGATATGATCGTCCCCCAGTGGACAGGATCCGGTAAACCCGGTTCTTTCCAGGTTGAAACAAAATATGGCCTGTCAACTCTGTTTTGAATACAAAGTAATTTTAATACCCTTTCCATTGATATGAAACTGCAAAGAACTCGTTTGTTTGAGTCAGATCAGAGTTTTTACATGGAACAATAATTGAAACTCTTTTATGTTTTAACTTTAGTTCGCCGCAATCGGGAATAAAGCATCGCCCAATGCACTTTTTTATGAGAGTTAAAAAAAAATCATCCTTTCAACCAAACGGCCATCCGTAGGTAAGGTATAATAACACAGCGGACCTACTTTTGAGAAATTGAATAAGAATTAGACCAGAATTCATTATTATTATTACCTAAGTTTATCAAGTAAAATTATACATAAAAGAATTTACTCTTTCTTAAAAAAATTATTAATTATATAAATTATATTGATAATATTTCTTTTTAAAAGAAGTTAACAAAATTTTAACAAAAAATTTTAAAAATAGGTAAAGTGTTATATATTAAATTTTAGTAAATAAAGGGACCATAATTTTTAACATCAAAAATGATAATGTAATATTCATATTTCTCACTAGAAAAAAAAAAGGCGTAATTTACTATAAATATAAATATCATAGAAAATATAATATAATTGATTTTGTTAAATTAGAGCAGTTCCAATTAATCTCTCTCTCTTTTTAGAATTATAATGACCATTTATTCCATCTCAATCATGTCTGCTTTTACTTTTTTTTTTTTTTATGCAATGACTCGCGTATGTTTTCTGTAAGGTTTAACTCACAAGAATTTTCTACAAACATAATCCAACATTGTGCCCTACCAACGTTGGAGCTAGTATTGGATATTTTATGCAAAGCAAATCAACCAAACTCGGTGATACTTGCTTTACTTTGTTTCGAGAGATTGTCGAGAAAAAAAATATTTTGAGTTAGATAAATTAAAGATTGTATTATTTGAATGGATAAAGCTATTTTTCCTAAAAGAAATAAAATTGAATGAATATAAATAAAGAAAAATGAGAATTTTGTTACAATCTATTAATGTTTTGCTTGGAAATTAAAAAAAAAAAAAAAAAAAAAAAAAAAAAAAAAAGGGAATGAGATCAAATAGAAAATAATTTTTTAAATGTTTAAATTAAGTGAGGAAAAAGTAGAAGAGGGAAAAAAAAAAAAAAACTTGTTTTTTTCTTAATTTTTAGTCAGCTGTGGAGACAAAACTTTCTGCATTAGATCCACATACTAATTTTTTTCTCAATTGTTTTTTTTTAATCCAAAGAAAACTTATTTAGAAGAAAGTGTTTTCTATTTTTCCAACTCCTTTCTTACTTTTTGCTAAACATAAACAAACGCTTTTTGGTTTTTTAAACAAGAAGGAAAGGGAAAACAAAAAGATATGCATGCGAAAAGGATACAGGACTGTTAATCAGATTAATTCGGATTTAGATTAATTCAGATTTGGGATAAAATAAAAACCAAACTAATTAATTTTGATTGATTTAGTTTGGATTAGATTTATAAAATATATTCAAATTAAATTAAATCAATTACTAATGAATTGATTTGATTGGTTTGATGGGTTGTTTTAAAAAAAAAGATAGATGTTAATTTATTTTTAAAAAAACAAAAATGCATTATTTCATTCCAAAATTTAAATAAAAACATATATAGTATAGTGTATATAAAGAGAATAATTTCAAGAGCAACTATTTCCCTCCAAAACTTTCCCATGACATATCTTTATTTACAAATTTTATAAAATTAAATTAAATTAAATTTTTATTATTTATGTAATTATATATTATAATAACACATGAATATAAAAAATTATAATGATGTTATAAATATTAATTGCATTAATATATAAGATTTTATAGTATATATTAAAAGAATAACTTTTGGAGCAACTATTTTTCTCTAAAACTTTCTCTTACATATTTCTATATACAGATTTTATAAAATTAATTAAATTTCTATTGTTTATGTAATCATATATTTAGTGACACATTAATATGAAAAAAAACTGTAATGATATGTAAAAATATCATAAAAAATTAATTACATTAATTTTAAATTATTATATTTTTAAATTAAAAGTAAGTATAAAATTCACATGAAAAAATTATTATTATATACTAAAGATTAATCTATGTTAACAATACTCTCTATCTCATATTTTATTATAAATATAATTAAATAATTATAAAAAAAAAATTCCAAATAACTCTATTGAATAAGATACTTTCGTGTGGGTAGAAGTACCGGATTACGAATAAAACTAACAATAAGCAAAAAATATGTTCAAGGAGTAATTACAATAAAATAATAATTAAAATCTTATACCAATTCAACTAATAGAAATAAGTTCTTACTTGAATAATTAACCGGAAACATAAATTCTCAGTTATTGTCATGATATTTTATTCTATCAGAGCACACTTAATATAAGGTCTAAACTTTATATTCAACCTCATCATCTTCATAATGAATTTTATATGAATATATACCAAAAGATAACAAAAAAAAAACAGTAAAAAATATCTCACTTTAATTACCGGTATAAGCTATATTCAAGTCGCCACTAATAATAAATAACAAATATACATTTACATTTAAGATCAATAAATATTAACACACCTTCCAATTATACACATTTAAATATATATCATATTTACTATTTTCTTTCGACCAAGATACCATTATTATGTTTATGAGAATGCAACGAGCACGGATTACTAGTCTATATCATTATTTTTTTTAAAACTATGATTATGCGTCTCCCTACTTCTAGATATATAATCAATTATATCTTCTTCTTTTTTTAATTAAAAAACTTTTATTTTTAATTTCATTTTATTTGTTTCTCTCTCTTTTTTACACACTTCTTCCAACCAGGAAAGTAAGAATGACCATCATTTTGAAATTTGTTCTTTTAATTTGATGAGTAATAATCCAATCATGATTAGACAACTACTTAGTATATACTAAACTATAATTTTCTTTTTTCATCTTCTTTTTCTATGTCTAAAGTTTAGTGGAAGGTGGGCCTTGACTAATTGTTAAAATTGAACTTTATACAACTAAAGGTAATTTTCTTTTTTCAAGTAAGTACAAGAGGTAAAGTTAGATAAGTTGTGGAGGTCACATAATTCTCCAATTGCTTGATTGATTCACCATCAATTTAGCATTTTTTTATATTGCCAAAATATCAAATACGAGTGTCTTTTCTAAAAGAGATATAATATGTAGTTTAATGTTTGCAGAAAAATTAACTTCCTCCATTAAATTTATCTCTATAAGTTTTCTATTATATACAAGGTTAGATCACCTCCATACCTTCAACAACCTGGTTCATCACATTCACATGAAGACCACCATTAAGCTAGTTTCAGTTGCCAATATTTTTTTTTTTAACTTCATTAAAGTTAGGATTTGAGAAGAACCAATGATACAAAGCCTAAACCCATCTGACATATTTCACCCTAAATAAATCACCTAGTGAGAACTTCCGAAGCAGGTGCCTGATTCCAATAACCGCCATTGAAGAGAAGAATACTTTTACTTAAAATTAAATAAATTAAGTTTCGGGTAGCTAACATCTAGTCGTTGTAGTATAGTGGTGAGTATTCCCGCCTGTCACGCGGGCGACCCGGGTTCGATCCCCGGCAACGGCGTTTCTTTTGCATTTTTCACTTTTAATTAGTAAGTTTAATATTTAAAAAGTAATAATTATCAACATTATTAAATTCATGTGTCGTTTACCCAAAAAAAAAAAAAAAAATGTGTTGGACACTTGGACGCCGTCATTGCACTCTCCATTAATTAAAATTATTATACCCGTGCATAAATATACCTAGTTTTTAATAATATTCTTCACTTGCTGTAACAAAAAAAAATATATTTTTTCACTTTTTATAAAATTACTTTAATATTTTATTATTAAATTATTTATTTCTTTATTATTATTATTATATATTTTATTATGTTTATTTTATTTTTATAAAATTATTTTATATTATTTTAAATTTTAGACTATTATTGTATTAAAATATTATTTTATATTGTTTTATTGTTTTGAATTTTAAACCCTAAACTCTAAAAAAAGGAAGTTGTTGACGAAGACCTCACCTGATGTTTTTTTACAACCTCGTCTTATGGAAGGTTGAATAAGGGTTTCTTACCTTAGCCTATTTCTTTTTTCCCGGGCCTTGCCTCTGTTTGTACTTTGTATCAAAATAGTATTTTCAAAAATCAATTATCATGTTAAAGCTGTGGTAACAAAAGCAATAAGTCAAAGTCCATCTTAACAGATTTCATCAAGATTGTGAAGATAATTATTGGCCTAGATTAACAGAATCTCGAACTTAGAAAACAGTTTGGAATTCATATTATTATGGGCCTAGATATATAGATGAAACTTGAAAGAAAGTATGTCCTCACATAATTATCCTTAGCAGGTTTGGTTTGGGCTTGTAGATACTTGATCAAATACATCTACAAGATAATTCAACTTCGATTCTCCAATTAAGATTTTTAGACACGTGCACACAACTCCTTTTAACAAAAATCTAATATTAAGAACAAAACGGTGGAGTAAGGTAAATATTTCAAATGCCACTTGGAATCAACTATTTATTACTTTGAATTTGTTCTTACATAAAAATGAAGCCATTGTCTTCTGGTGGAATAATGGTGTAGTAGTGTGACACCTTTAACTATGCTTTTATAGGAAAAAATGAGCGTGAGGGGCTCAATGTTCCATTATTAAAAGCCCCGTAGTGTATGAACTATGGAGTAATAATCAGCGGAATAGTCTGATTATGTACAACATTTGCAGCCAATTTCTTTTATCTACATTTGTAGCCGGTGCATGATTGAGCCTTTGCATTCTGTATGTGTGGAATTCAACTACACAAAGTGAGGGGTATTGTTATTGGACTTCAACTACTATCTATACTAAACCTAATAAATCTGCTCCATATTTAT